TGTGATGCTGCCCAGGTGCCCAAACAGAAGCATGTGATTTTATTAGAGGCCCACACTCACAGCCTTAGACCTAAAGGTCTGATCCACAAGGCAGTGGAGCAACGAGAGGAGATGTAGTCCCATGGTAGTTGGTGATCAACAACTGGTTCATATATCATTTGAAGCCAGTCTACGTGCACCATCGGTTTGAAATCAGGGTTTTCCGACTCCCGTACGTGAAGTTCCCATGTCCACTAACCCGGTTAAAGCTCCTGTCGGAGATTCGCTTTTCGTTCTCTCAATTTCGTTAACGGAACCTCAGTGGCGAGAGGCAGTGAGTGAAAGATCTCTGACAGAGGTTATATACGCTTGGCCATTTAAGAACATTTGGAGAAGGAGAGCAGACTCTCTCCACTCTCGACCGTAACAAGGCATTCGAGGGCTCACAAAAGCCACCATCGTAACAAATAGTTCGAGGTACAAAAATCATTATCGTCTTAAGAATCAATAACTTCACCGAGAAAACATTTGTCACCAGTAGAGAAATTCTGGGATTCATATGTGTGTAATCATCAGTTGTCAGCTAATCATCTCAATATGTTCTCAGGCACCAAAAGTATGGTTAAGATATGTAGATGACACCTTTGTCATTATAAAACGGGACCATTTGAATGAACTGTTTAAACTTGTCAACAACTTTGATGGAAAAATCAAATTCACCAAAGAGTTGGAATCTCCTGAAAACAAATTACCTTTCCTAGACTTTTTAGTTGAAAGGAAAGATTATGATGGCTTGAAAATTAGTATATTCCGAAAGCCGACAAATTCATGAAAATTTCTAGATTTTAAATCGGCACATCCACACTCGACCAAAAGTGACAGTAGTCAAAAATATGATTACAACAGCTCAAAAACTTGTCACTTAACCAAACGATATGACAAGGGAAATAAATTTAATTACATCTGGCCTAATGATGAACAATTATTCAAAAGATTTTATTAAAAGAATAATTAAGAATGAAAGAAAAGACGACATTGTTAATACAAAAAGATTACAGAAAAAGGAATGGGTTAACACAGTGGTGATCCCATATCGGAAAGGAATTTCGGAAGATATTCGAACAATCTCAAATAATCAAAATATAAGAGTATTTTTCCGAACAAACAATACTCTAAGATCAAAATTAGCAAGAATTAAAGATCCAATTCATAAAGAAGAACAACAAAATTGTGTCTATGAAATCAAATGTAGTGACTGTAATGCAACGTATGTAGGTGAAACATCAAGACAACTGAATGTGAGGGTGAAGGAACACAAACAATGCTTGAAACACATTACTAAATCCTCAGATGATGTAAGGAAACTGGAGAAGAAATCAGCGATAGCATTACAGTCGATAGAATCAGATCATACAATTGATTTCGATGGCACAAGAATCCTTCAAAAAGCTTTTAATTCTTACAAGGAGAGACAAACAGCTGAAGCCCTATACATATGGGTTAATCCAAACAATATTAATAGGAGGGATGGAATACAATTAGCAGTGACATGGCAGCTAATCATTAATAAGTAATAACCTGAACTCCTTAATGTTTTTTTTATCTAATTCGTATTATCTAAAATGACAACAATTGCATTCAATGATTCTAATCTGTTGTCTTATCGGAATTTTCACAGTTGAAATCATGAGTCAATTGAAGCTAGACCACCATCGAAAACCTGGATGCACTGGAATGGAGTTCTACCAGGTCTGTTGTTGAGATATCAGCTCACTGAAGACAATTGGTGAACGGTCGCTCAAAATCGTGGATTGGTTGAAGTTAGACATTAACACCGTTGGATGCCGGCTCAGTGGTCTATCAGTTAAGGGCTTCGGCTCGAGACTGGTAGGTCCTAGGTTTGAATCTCGCGGGTGCGGGATCGTGGATGTGCACTGCTGAGGAGTCCCATAATAGAACGAAACGGCCGTCCAGTGCTTCCAGGTTTTCGATGGTGGTCTAGCTTCAATCGACTCATGATTTCAACTGTGAAAATACTAAATTCTCCACAAAACCCCCCTCTTATCGGAATTTGTTAAACAATTCATTGGAACATTAAAAATGACACATACGTACAGTTTCAAAATTACGCTCTTCAAATCTCACTCTTTTATTATTTTTATTTTGTTTAATTATTCTTCATGTTATACATACTGTGACAGATATGATCCATATCACATATATTACAAATTCTATGGTCTCCTTATAAATTCACTGATAAGTCCCATTATCTAGTGTGAATGTAATTTTCTCCTCTCACCACTTACGTTTTTTCTATACAATTATGTTATATGAACACTCATCACTTCACATCACACATCTCTTACACACTAATATACATACCTAGTTTAGACTTTTTGTTAACGTGGATTGGATGACCTATTCAGTGTATAATGAACTCGGAGAACCATGTACTACCTATTTATATTCGATAATTTTGATGTTTGATTATAATTCCTTGAAAAAGCTTGGACCAGATTGCCAGGCGAAACGTTGGATTTACTACAAATTCATTCGCTGAGATTTTACAAATATATATTTTTCATATTTAATCCACTTAATAATTACTGAATATTTATAGATGGAAATTTTTAATTTTCTCATCTAACTACTAACATCCGGTTAAGTAGTATCTGATTGTATGCCAACGACATTCGTTTCAATGGACTCACCTAGCTCAAGGCGTTCGGTTATACATCCGCACTGATTTGATAACTGCTTTTCATTAGAACTCTGAGAATAACTGCGGCACACAATGTTACTCACTATTAGGGCACATCATGATTGATATTCCAATCGGTTTTCTTTCTTTTTAAACGGTAATAAATTTTCTTACTCGCAATTTAATTCATTCATCAATGAAGAGTACAAATAGTCACGGACGGGAACAGGTATATCTATTCATGAACTGATTGCTTGTATAATGATCATTTTTTTAGGCTAAGTAATAATGTATTGTCAATCAGCATGTAGATTTGACAATGTTCTTGTTAAACAATGGAATATTTTGTGAATTATCACGAACAAATAATAACCAATCACTTGTAATAGATGTGAGAGAGAGAGAGAGAGTAAATTCTCAACCAATTATTACATTTCTATGGATGTCATTCGATTCACTTAGTCATTGATCACTGCTTATCAGGGTGAACAGAATGTGACTGGTTATATGATGCCTTTCCACAGCATCATACAATGAAGCATTCAAAATTAGGTTTGTGATTGTCAGTTGAAGTAGTATCATTTATAGAATATAGAACATTTCATCTGAAGACTAAACGGGCGTCTTTTCTATGTGTCCTCCGATTGTGTTAATGAAGGTATCTATCAGTTTAATGACATTCATTTGAAAGTAATAATGAACAGAACATTCTACTTTCTTTAAATATTCTTATAAGCTTCTGCTTGAATGGAATAATGACTTAATGCAGCCTAATATTTTGTAGACACACAGGTCATAGTATGAGCAAATCTGAGTTATTCAACGTGTAGTCCATAAAGTAACTGTGATAGGAGAGCGAATTTAGGTTAAATCATGGACTAAGCTTGAATTGAGACTAGTCGGTCTATCAGTTGCTGTGGCCTATAACCCATTTGTTGAATGCACATAGATTTGCAAATCACTTTAATTTTTCATTGCTCTCTCCTAATCCATGTCGTCCATTCCGACTTTGGCATTTAAATCTATGAGGATGGTGAGGTCCTTTCTTGAGCACTTAGCTAGGATTGACTGTACTTTCTAACAGAAGTGACCTTTACTGTAATTGATGGATTCACAACATCGGGTAACATTCATTGTGATCCCCTCCTTTATTGTTTTCAATGATGCTTTGATAATTTCGGATCCATGAGATTCCCATTCTACAAGTGCATTTTGTACTTCTCTGGACAGCATTAGAGCAACTCTCTGAGTGTGTGAACCATTTTTCCTCTTCGTGATCGGAGTACAACAGCATGTTTTCCGTATCTAGTCATTGCTCTTCAGCTTGCGTCCAACTGCATTGAGTATCTGGACAGCGATAATCTCTATTTGCAATGTGCTATAACGTTAAAGCACTTCAATATAATTAAAGTGACTAAAAATAGGTTCAGTGTCGACTTCAGACTGTGTGTGCCTCGTAAATCTGGAATTCCATGTGCAACGCTGAAATCCTATGTCACGTGAACTATTCTCGCATGTAGCCATCGAATCATCATTCAAACCGTAAGGCTCTTGTGTGATGCTGATGAATACAAAAACTTCTAGTCAACATCATTTTCCACAGAAAGCTTTGAAAGAAGCCCTTGACCGTATTATACAAATATCAACAATAAATTCATAGAAGGAATCATAATCCGTCTTGATGACACCTCTATAACCATAGTTTGTCGCTCACCATTTACCTAATACGTATTAATCAAGTAACGAAATATGGAAGTGTTTATCTAGGTATTGATAAAGTGTTTCGACAGATCACTCCATCAAAATGAACACTCACAGCGGACTCATAGTTAACTGCAATGATCACGAAATCACTTATGCGTAATAACACGTAGTTACGAGTTAAATTTGTAGAACTCATGTGATATTATGCACCTTGAATTATATGAAAGCGATAACGCAAATGCTGAAAACAGTGTTTGACATTTTATAAAAAGGATAACATCAGCTATCATGTTAACAATCAAAAGCATGTACAAAGTATCATGAAATAACTGTCCAAATTCTAAAGTATTCTAAAGAAAAGCGGAATTGAGACAACTTGTTCAGAGTTTTCAAAGGAATTTATAAGACTTTTTCATGGATCATTCATTACTTCTCTTTCTTCTAAGTAACCATCTCCAAATTATACAACCGATGCATATAAGAAATAGAGAGGCGACCAAAGGAATTACAACGTACAAGTACCAATGTGACTTGTGTTGCTTATTTTCTTCCGTTGTCCTGGTAGTCTGAAGAAAAACAAAGAATTATCAGTTTTTAACAAATATCAAATATTTACAAAGTGTTTATCTGTTTCTCCAGTAGTTTTCATGAGGTTTTCACTAACCTGAACCTCAGTGATCCCCAATGTTGTTTCACTGTGTTCCATAATTGTTGAACTATTCAAATCGTTGACATCCGAGTTCTTCATAATAATTCAATCAGAAGCATTGATTACTAAACATCAAATATCATTCTTTTAATTCATCATTCATTACAAATCATTCTCAGTAATGATGACACAAGAGATTCTCATACATAGTTACTGAATTCGAATTCGTCAAATCATTCAGGATATCTATTAGCGATTTGACAATCTGTGTGCTCAGTAAACACGATCCTACACCTAGTTGACGACCCCTTTGTGTGATGAAATATGTGTTCTGGATGTCACATCTAATCACAATCCGAATATAAAGCAAAAGGCTTATAAGGTACAGCTTCATTGAAGCAATCTATTGAGGTTACTTATTTTTCTACAGAGTATCATAAATCATTGTTCCGGGATTCAACAATGGTAGTCTACATACTTTCACTAATTCTCCTAAGCTGATACACAATTTCTAACTGTTAACGCTTCTTCGCTTTACTTGGTTTCATCGGTGTATTTTTATCATTTACATACATCTACGATTACATTTAGGACTTTCGAAATTACGGTTTATTCACTGAGCTGAAAACATAATTCGCTTTGAAACGATGATGGTGAGCGATGCTTCGATTCATTGTTTACTTTTTTTTCACGAAACGGAAGCATGAACTCATATGTCGTCAACCTATACAAAGCTTTTATTTAGTCACTGAGGATGGCTAACATGCCGTTTGTTATTGATAGCAATAAAAGTATTTTTTCGAGTTAAAACATTTGCTCAAAATGTGAAATTTGAGGTTATTGCAAACGACATATGAAGTTTACCAATTACCAACCTCAACACGGCAGTCATTGACTTTCAAGCCATGAGTGTTTTGATCGTTACTTTCTATACATTTCTCCCCTTTTTCACACCAAATACATGTCGTATTCGATGTCGTTGCATTTTGGCATGTTTCACTTGTATTGTATTGCGAACAAATTTCTATGAAAAGAATAAGGTGAATTCATTTGAAGTTAATGAATAGAAGAACAGAGAAATAAGAAACCTGAAATATTACTCAATGACGTGATGGTGATTTCTGAGTTAAGTGACTTATCCATTCGGTGGAAAATGGTCAACATGGTGCATCATGCAAAACTCAGTACACCTTCAATTTCTCTTCTATTTCAAGACTGCATTTTTGGATTGAATGAAATTACTTTGAGTACAAAGAACAATTGACGATTTTTTGACAAGTGGAAATTGATGACTTTTAATAACTGTTCGCATTCAGACATGTGCACACTACGTTGTCACTGAGTTCAGCAAAGCGTATTGTGATTGACTTTGATGGTTATGCACTTTCTTTCCATGAAATCGTTTTTGTGAATGAGATAAGTGCCATAAACTCGGTTGTTCATAGACACAAAATTTAAATTGAACTATGTTGATTCAATTAAACAACAAAGGAAAAGTGACATCGTTCTTCCAATCGTCAATGACAACTTCAATGCCTCAGAAAAGTTCTACATCATATATATCAAAATAATAACGAACACTTCCTTGTCAATGCACAATCGCTTACTGACATCTAATATTTTTCGAAACCGAAAGCATTCCACCATTCATTTTGTAACTTTATATTCAAGTAAACTTCATCGAAGTGAAAACTTTATTGTTGTTGAAAACCGGTCGTTATTCATTCTTAATAATCAACAACGAATCAACGGGTAGTTATAAATAGTAAGTTAAACGTCATTCGAGACACATGCCTGGATATCATTTATTAAATGATACATGGGATTTTCTATTTTCAGCGAACAAAAATGATGTATTCAAGCACGAAAATAGTAAGTGCTGATTAAATCAAATTTCACGTACCTCCGATGGCTTCAAACTCCACCAACGTACCACTTTTGATCCATTTTGCTGGAACACGTATCTCATGATATCTGTAAACTAGTGTGACAAATTGAAAGGGAAAAAAGAGAATTAGAATTTCGTCTTCTTTTTGAAGCGAAACAAGTTTATTTGCTTCACTTAAATAGACGGCAAATCAAGGATCTGTAGTATTTTTCATTACGTACAGAGTGATGACTGTCTTAAAAAAACTATGGTTTACATCGCACTGATTTTTGAAACTGGCCTGTTAAATTATAAATGAAATAGTTACGTTTCTGAGTTATTTAACGATGAAATCAGCTGGACGTCTGGGATAGATGCGTTCATCCCTTACATATTATTTCACAATGCATATTACACGGAGGCAACATTCAAATCTACAAATCAAGGAACAATGGTGATTTGTATGTCAATCTCAGACGCGCGTTTCATCTTATTTAGGACGTATCAGGGACTGAAAACCAACACCATTCATTTCCATTTACATTCCGTTATTCCCTTATCCAGTCAGTCCATATATCCAATGACTTGTGAAACTGTATGAAGCTTTAAATCATTTTTGAATTGTTATTGAATCTTCCAATTGATGTTGAGAAACCGTATTTGATTCCACTGCTATTCCTCATCCATCTTTACGCACAATGCTTGTGACTTCAAGCAACATCCAGATAATCCTAACAGAGTGCATATATATGAATAAGGGACTGATCAGTTGCAGTACAAATCACTCATGTGAGGACTGAACCGAAGAATGCAAAATGACAATTATCTTCATTGTTTAAATGACTCAACAATGCACTTAAACCTGTCAATGCAGAACATCTGGCGGAACATTTGATGAACCTTCTCACATTCAATCATAAACACTGTATCTCACCTAATCACGTACACTCAAAACTCCTCTTCAAACTCGCCTTCATCTCTCAACAACACATGTTTATTTCAGTGAAGCAAGACGATTGAACATTTCGTAGATGAAATATCATTTCCAAACTAGCACTGCTTTATTTCTGCTTCATACAAAACACACCTCCTTTTACATTGAGTGTTGAGATGATCAAAGACTGCAAGTTTGATTGTATTACTGTGAGTGTGTGAATACATGAGTGGATATATTTTGATTTTGATATAGTTATTCATATATCCATATCTGAGTGAGTCTACCGGTAATCATAACTGTAAGAAGTTCTCAAAATATTTAGACAGTGTGTTTACGAAAATCATTCCAATTTCATTCTGCACAATTAGCCACAACACTTAAATGACATTTCCACGAACTGACTTTACGCAAGAAGCAACTGAATAATGATCACTGTTGGAAGCTCTCTCTGATAAGACACATGGATTTTGTTCATTAACATGCTCATGACCTAGTACAAGTAGAGAGTAATATAAAACTAACTGGTGATTGATGATGTACGTCACCGTACATCAAATAGTTAACGAGATTCGGCCTGCTTAAACATCTGTGCTACCTGTTTCCGTCATCTAGATATTTCAAAACGTTATCTAAAATTGTTTGTTTTAATACATCATTATGCCTAGTAATCGCACAACCTATTCAGGTGCATTTTTGAAAAGAGTAAGAGTTTTAGCTGTAACGGTTGCAGAAGGCAATATGCAGCGAGAAGAATGTACATTATCCAGATGTCGATTGACTGGGCTGCAAACTTCTAAGTGGCGATCACTAAATATTAATCGTCAGGAAGGACGAAGAAGTAAGAAACGGAAACTTGCTGAAGTACATTGTGCTGAGAATTCTATATTGTACCAAAAATATAATATTGAATAAAGCTAATAATAATAATAGTAATAATTCGCTGAAATATTTCTTACCTCCTTCACAACGTATTATTCCAACGATTTTCGATTGCAACTGACTTTCCTCAATTTCCTTAGGAATCTGAAAAAAGATTGTTGAATGTCTGAGACAAGATCTGCTACCACACAATCATTTATATGAAATCGAATAATTACTGGAGAAATGTATCATCATTTAGATCATCTCATTAAAAGCCAACTAATCGCACTCACACTAGGCATACTGATATTCTCAGTTTGCTTTCCATGAATGTTCAATCCAATCTGTCTAGATATTCTTGTCAACTTCGGTCAAGTGTTATGGACTATCTCTCCATCATGATATGTGGCGATAACTTGTGAGATGAATATCGCCGTCTATTGAAATGAAATGAGATTGTGAATATTTGACAGGATGCTGCACTCAGGATATTCCACAGTGAACATTCTGAACAGTCGATCGTCACTACATGAAATAAAACTCAACAGAATATGACTCTTTCCGTATAGTACGCAAACATTCACAGCCAGTTACTATTTGGCACGAACAGGTTATTGTTTCTTCTGAAAGAACTTTACTTCTGATTATTCACTGTTCATACCACTTGCTTGATTAGTGTCACTAGAGGATTGATAATAGTGTCAACTAGTCCGCTTGCCTATTACACAATGTTGATCTCTTTCTATCGTGTTCAGTGTAACTAGATTAATTTGACAATATTGATCAACATGAAATAGTAGAATGATGTGAATTACTTGAAACAATATCACATTTTCACTAAATTATGCAACTCACGTTATCATAATGGAACGATACCTTCCCATTTGGGTGTATTAAAGTCGTCATTGTGGCTGTAACCTCTACAGTAAGAAGAATATTGATACTCAGGATTTAGGATTTAAACGATGAGCAAGTTATAGTTTGATTTAACACTGTGGACAGATTTCTGTGGATATTAACTGTGTTATCTGGAATGCTTTCTTCAGATGGATTGATAATAAATACATTGCAGTGAACGTCGTTGAAATGAGACGGACATGAATCCCTTCTAACAAATGTCAAATGCCTAGATTCTGAAGTTGTATTACTATTGTCGAATCAATAAATCGTCTACTTTACCATCAGGGATCTGATAGTCAGGGATGTAATAACATTCGCGCAATATCCTAAATAATTCAATTTGAAACAATGGACACTCAGTACGCATGACATGATCTTAGGAGTGTTTGTCTACATATTGAACTTGAGAAATAAATTGGTGGTATATATATAAAGATTTCTATCGGTTAACTAATTCTGACTTCAGTGTCCATTTGTTGTAGATGAGAAACGAATAGCTTTAGATAACGATTTCTCAGTTTGCAACGTCAATATTTGGGAATGACTATGCGATGAAAGGATGTGTAGATGAATATAATGTGTGCAGCAATCGCTTTGTGACCAATGTAGAACACAATTCATTTATTTTGGAACACAGACTGTTTATCAAGTTCCACTTAAACCCGAAATGATAATAAATCTCTGCATTCATTTTCCAACAAGCAGAATGAGATTGTGACTTCAATTATCCATGATGACTTATTTATTGCCTGTCAAATCCAGTCATTCACAGTTCATTTTAACTGTTCCCAATGTTTCAATGGATGTACTCAGTTAGTGAGTGAATTTCACATCCAATTCTACCATCGTTTGACAGAATAGAAGCATCTTCATTCTTTTGTTAGTAATTTGGAAGGTTGGATTTGTTTGAAATGAACAGACAAAGTATTAGTAATTACAAGTAGTGAAGATGTAAGTGTAGAAGTTTCAAGCGTGTGATCGAACGACCGATCAATGTTTACTCACCTGAATCATTAACGTATATCGAAAAATTCCTTCGGACTCCTAATAATTCCTCTGAAATAATGAAAATCAAAAGGGATGTTTAAATATCTGAATATTGATTTTATATCTTTTTTAATCAATATACTTTTTAACACGGACTGCCGACTAATACGAATCGTCGTCTCCATTTCGAGGTTTAAAAGAACCGGAGTAGTTAAATGCTAAATCATCTCTCATGAGAAAAGTCCAAGGAATATTATCAATTCAACAATATGATGAACGTTTCAGCACAATCAACTGAGAAGTATATTTCACTTCTTTAAAATTTCTTCTAGAAGCTTCTGACTGAATAATAGACGTTTAATAGGTATTCGACAATATAACAACAAAGTGTTTTTTGGATCCCGTTATTCATCAATTCTTACGTTTGACCGAAATAAATGAGTGTCACATCGATGTTTGAAGTGTTCTGGTATGAGTAAATCATCTTGTACTAGTGGACTGTTCACGGACGTTCATTGGTCAGTTGTTTCACGAAGTGCATTGATTCCAAATGCATAATCATACAAATACGATCACAAAAATAGTCTTGAATAATCGAATAGTAACACACAGCATTAAACATTCAAGAATCGAGTAAGTGCTATAAAAGGTCTATAGGACTTCATATATAACTTGATAATTCATAGGCTTCAATAATTCAAACCGCCTTCTCTCACAACATAGCTTATTATTGCACAAGTGATCACTTTTATTCACTCAGTCTACCATGAAGTATCGTGTAGATGAGATATCTTCTGTTTTGTAGTTTTCATAGACTGAAGTGTTGGTAATTTATACACTTTCGCAATTATATCACATGGTTTATCATTTCTATTCGATGAAAGTGTATATTTTCAGGTAGATCTCTGTTTAATTTACCAATTTCACTTTACAGCATTCAACACCTGCTGCGATACACACACGTTCTGTTGCAAAAACAACACGAACACAACAATCACTTTGTATTGGTTACCACTCCTGTAATCATCAAGATAAATACTGAATCTTTTATACAAAATAAGTGTGAGAAAAGTGATCAAAACAAAGAGTAACTGAATAATATAAGAACTCACTCTCATCGAAAACTCTAGATTCATACTCCTCATAGTTTTCTAGGTAATTATTAATATTTCCAATTTTGTACGATTCATATACATGTACATAATCTGTATTTATTGGATGAAAACATGCGACATGACTGATAAATTTGTAATGAATGAATAAACAATTTTAAATAATAAAACTGAACTGTAGTTGGTTTGCTATAAAGAGTCAAACCATGTTGAACAATGAAAAAAAATATTGAAAGAAGTTTTGCATGTTACAAGGAGCACAAAACTGATTCACTGAAGAAAATAGAATCAACTTTGATTCATTAACTGAAATTTCACCAAGAAAACTCAATGACAATTTGATTTCAAAGAAAATTTATGACTTACGGTGTTTGTAAAAATCAATTTGTTGTACGTGTTTACCGTAATAACTAAACGAGAATCGAGGATAAACCCCCTAAAATGTTGCAAACATATGGAAAAATATCTTTATTATAAAGTGTATTCAACTCACGTATCTGCCAAATATCTCATTATTAAAACGGTCACTCGGAACTGCTTGAGATTGATAACGTTGAATCCTCATTGAATACTTATAATGAAGAGACTGGAATATGTGTATTAGAATGTAACTGATTACTTACATATCGATATGTATCGTTTTCAATAATGACAATCTCATGGTGACGCAAATCATGGTTGTTGCAGATGTCGTTGCAGTTGAAACGTTTATATGGCCAAACGAAGATCACATAAACTAGTATCCATAGACTAGGCGAAAAGTTATATCTAAAATGATTAGGACGAACAAATCAACGGTATCTCATTCAATCAAATTTCAATTTGAGTTCGTATGTTCATTCAACACTTACCTCATCTTATCGTGTCAAGCTATAAATCAAATTTTTATAGAATTTGTCGGGTTTATATAGACTTTTGAAATGTAAGGTTGTTCTCTTCTGATTCGATGATTCAAAGTAACCATTAGAAAGATCGAATTTAATAAAATCAGATGTTCATTATAAACCAATCATGGAGGTATATGACATTATCGTAAACCAATATTCTTCTGGCTGTTGAGATCATCAGCTGAAATTTATCCACTGTTGGTTGAAATTCCTGACCCCTGTGGATAAAACTTCTCTTCGATGTGATAGACGATATTCTGAAATGGGTGATTGGTTAAATTGTAGTTCAAAATGTGTTCTCATATGTTTACGAACAAACAGTTTGTTGTCTGTAATAATTTATTGATTATTCGTCAACGATGAGTTGTTTTGATTTGATTGGTTAAAATCAAAGTAGCACAAATTGTTTTCATTGGATGGTAACAAATACTCTTTTACACATGGATTTTGTTACAATAAGCACATTTTGTTAAACGATTTCACCGTCGTTTTTTTTAATAAAATTTTGTAACTTCTGAACAATGTCACATCCATTCTATTTGTATACCACATTATAACACTGACTGCCAATAGATGTCCAGATCAATAAGGATAATGATTTTCCTATTGAGTACATTGAAATAGGATCAATTGTGATCAGTTTCATAGATTGAGTTCTCAAATCATTGTAATCAGAGGAATGTAATGCATTCCGCCGAAAGTGGACTGTTAAAAGTGGAGAACGATTTCTTATACCAGACACATTCGAAACTATAACATTGATCATTGTATCTGAAAACTAAAATGTTTGTCAATACTCAAATAGAAGACTGATTTTCACCTGTGTGTATTTCAATGATCTATTCCCTCACATCAGCTGAGCTTGTATTTTATATCATCTGTGTTCAAATATAGAAGAAATTCACAGTGATAAGATAATGTTAAGTGTATACTTAACATACACTAAACATGGAATACTGACGAATGAATAAAATTCTACACATTCATAACTGAATAATAATTTTGATGAAATAAGTCAGGAATGTTTATTTTTGCGTGATAATTAAAAATAGTTTTCCTCCTGACACAGTAGATGTGTTTTGTTTTACTTTAGACAGATATGAACACTAATCAAAATGTTGTTACCTTGACAACCACTGTTTGTTGTCGAAAAATGAGACTGTTTGGGTAATTTCGTGAATTCATCAACATCAAAATTGTTTTCAGTGGTGCATTGTCAATTCAATGCCGTTGATCAATATCTAATAACGAAAGGAAAAGTTATCTGTGCATGTGATAGTGTAGATCAGTTAATCTGCTTGAGAAGAGTATGATTCAGATGATGAAGTATTCAGTGGAGTGTCTCCTTATACCGTCATGTCTATTTCGCATATTGTTATTAGTGAATGTGTTGTAAGTATGAAGTATGTTTCACAACATAAAGAGACTGCATGCTTTTAAGGTTATGCGACATCAGATCTTACATTTTGCCAGGTCTTGTATATAACCTCTTATTCTTCAATCTTCTTCATAATCCTTTGATAAGCTTTAAAAAGAAAGCGTTTGCTGTATTGTGAGAAATACAGAAAGCAGTTGACAAGTTGTGTGGTGAACCTTTTGAAGTCATCAGTAAAATGACAATGAATAGACTTCTAATGTCTAGCTCAAACCTGAAATGTGTTTTCCTAATAATAACCATCAATTTCGTTCACTATTTTTCCTCGTATATCTTCCGGTAGAAGCTGTAGAAATGTATTTATAGATGATGCTATAGTGGTCTGTGGTGAAACAGAGTAGTTTTACAAAATTATCAAAAGATAATGAAACTCATCGAAGAGAGTCTCAATGGAAAAGTAAGAAACGGACTAGAATTGACTTTGCGGATTCGGTTGCTCCAGGTAGGGAAAGTAATTCGATCTATTCTCCATCCTCAAGAGCCAGACGAATATGCAGTGATGACACAATTGTTGATGATGAACTTAATATAATTAAGCAAACTCTACGGGAAACAAGCTACAGAACCATCTCAATTATTGATTGTTATCTAAAATCAGGATATCAAGTTGAATGAAACCTCACACATGGTAGGAATAGTTGACGTCAGAATATTGAATTCAAAGGAAACATGGCATGGTGGATTTCAGAGAACGGACTATTCATATCCTTAAAAAGCATTCTATTCTGCCGTATTCCGAATTGTTTTCTGTAGCAAGAATGTAATCATGACAGTCTCAATGATCAACTTACGCTTGGTGAGATGCATTAATTCATTTGCCAGAATATGCACTGAAGGCAAAACAGATGATAAGCTATATACAATGCATAAAACGTTTTCTGAGAATGACACTGAAGATATGTTAATTGACAGTGCGAAACAGAGAGACAGTGGAGTGCGATTTCAGTTTCCTAATAGCTACGAACAATTGTTCGTTCCGTTGCTTCTTTGTATTCCGTCTTCTCTATTTCGATTAAATGGACAATCATCTTTTACATCTCTTTATCATTAGACAACACAAAGTCTTTGACAGCTCATAAGTATATTTGAAGTGATTGAGAAGATAACTCTGATCAAAAGGAACACACTGCCCTCGATGAACAGTTAATGTCTAACCAGAAAAGAACGCCTGCTACTTTCATCCTCTCAAAACTGTTCAAACTGAATACAGTCACTTGACGATTGAGTCACCAATATGTGTTTCAATATCACGTATAATCATCACAAATACTATTTGGCATCTTTCAGCCTAATATACGTTGCCACGTAAGAAACTATTTTTCTAAAAGTAAAAATAATGATAAGAATAGTATCTATGATGTGATAGTGTGATCTGTCTGTTAACCTTGACCGTTGTTTTTCTTGTTGTTGTTCTACTGTCATTCATTTTAATTCCACGTTGTTTATCACCAGATTTCATCTATGATATGACATTTTCTTTTTTATTACTACTATTATTATTAATGGCTTTATTCAATATTATAATCTGGTACAATATAGAATTCTCAGCATGAGTTAAAAAAAGGCGGCCTGCTTGAATACCTGGGCTACCTGTTTCTGCCATCTGAATATTTCAACATTGTTATCTGGGTTTTTTTTAAAAATTTTCTAACTTATCATTATGTCTATTAATCGCATAACCTATACAGGCGTGTTTATGAAAAGCTTACGTCCTTTCGCTGCACAAATCACAAACAAGTACAATAAGAGACATCGTGGTGGTTGGCAATATGCATTAACGTGAATGAACATTAATCAAATGTCCATTCCAGAGCTGCTTAATTCTAACTGTCGATCTCTAAATAACAAGGTGGACTATCTCCGATTTCTGCTAAGTCAAAACATGTATCGTAATTTTGGTGTCACCACAATTCAAGAATCTTGGTTAACTGACTTACAGGATGATTGCTTAGTATCATGACGTGATTTTAATATCTATGGTCAGGATCGATCAAACAACAAAAAGACCTGTGGTGGCGGAGTAGCTACGTTTGTAAACGTCGATCTACTTTTGCCTGTTTCAAGTTTTCAAATGACTTTATTGACTGTCTAACTTTAAAGTGCTGTCCAAAACACCTGAATAAATACAAATATGTTTATGTTACCAATATCTACATGACTCCAGACTGCACATCATCTGCGCTATCTGTCTTCGCTGATAAATTTACTGAATTCGCTGTTATTGCCTTCAATGATTCACTTTTTAATTGTATGTGGTGATTTCAATTCATGTGACTGTAGCTTCCTTACATCACTAGGTCACCTAAATGTAGTAGATTTTCCTACTCGTCTGAATTCTCATCTAGACTTGGTTTTCATTAATGATGTGGGTACCTATGTGACTCACGAACGTGCTCCATTGTCTAGCTGGGATCGCTGTATAATTCGTGTTCTACCTAAAGTATATGGTAAACATGGAAAGAGTACACACATACACCATACCAAAAAGTAATATATAGGAATTACTCAGAAGAACATTTACAAAATCTAAAAAAACATGTTTCGTATGACCAACTGGGAATTATTTACAGATGACTCAATAGAAAACACAACTGATGTTATCACCTGTTATCTTGAATTCTGTTTTGATATTTGCTGTCCTACAGAAACCTTCATTTTAAGTTTTGATCGACTTACATCTCCACAACTAAAACAACTACGGAGGGTAAAAGAAAGGATGTACAAGGAGAAAAATACTATTGAAGTTCGTAAGTTAAATGGTCAAATAAACCAAGAGATTAGACGTCTCAACTCTGTGTTCACTCAAAAACTCCTATCTTGTAAAAGCTCTTCAAGTATGAGGAAACTCTTTAAAGAAATTACAGGGGACAGGCAGACTAGAAGCGATATCCAGCTGAATGTTTGTGACTTAAATAAGTCCTTTATACGTCAGTCATCTGACATCATGCTCTCTATATCCAAGGGTCTGAAGAATAATTGTGTTCCCAGTTTCACCGAAAATGTTGTCCGAAAAAGTCTCCAGTCACTTAATTCATCCCAATGTTTAGGACCTGATGGTATCCCAAACCTCCTTTTTAAAAATGTGCTGATGTTTTATGTTATCCATTAACGAATATCTTTAACAGATCCTTGCCAACTAATGTCTTACCGAAAATGTGGAGAAAGATAAATGTAATCCCTATACCATAGAAAGCTTCTGGTGATAAAAATGTAAAACATAGACCCATTGCAATAACTTCACCTTTCCTCAAAATAATGGAAAAATTACTGATACAACCACTTCAACTTGCAATAAAAGAGCACTGTGATCCATATCAGTTTGCTTACAAATGCAAAAGAAGCACATTAGATTCCGTTGCTGTTCTGCATCACAATATAGTGTTGGGGTTGGAAAAGGGTAGGTGTGCCACAAGGAGCTGTTCTTTCACCTCTACTCTTCTCTTTTTTTCTGTATGATCTGCCATCTTCCACAGAAAACACTTTTGTAAAATATGCGGACAACCTCACTGTATGTATGTCGATTTCTACCTCCTT